TATATATATAAATACAAATATGTATAAAGACAATCTATTAGTATAAGTTCCAAATTTTACAATTTGATTTGATTCTCAATTGAAAACAGAAAAGTTCAGATTTTGACTCAGAATTTAAATTTCAATTGAACAACTATGCTTAGGAGACTAATCAGCACATAGCTCAACGCAAGCAATTTGAAGAAGAGAAACGTGCAATAAGTCCATATGATTGTCACCAATCGATAGGAAATGTAAGGACAGAAAAAGTTTAATCAAGCATTACCTTTCCAAGACTGGTCAACCCATCCCTCAACTTTGGAATAACTAAAACATGAACAGGAGCCTGGGGGTTGATGTCACGGAATGCTAGCACTTTATCATCCTCATATACAATAGTTGAGGGAATTTCTTTAGCTATTATCTTGTCAAATCTGAATATGGAACAAATGTAAATGGAAAAAAGTATTCATATTCTATTGGCTAACTGGTACTTTTTATGCTTGAAAACATAAGTCCAAGGGGAAACGAAAATCTAATTGCCAAGCAGCATATGTTACTTCCGAGCTTGTGATCTGATTCTTTTTTCCTTCAGGTGTTTTTCTTAATAGAAAAGAAATATATTAGATAAAGAAAGAGAAGATACGATATATAGGAGGATAAATTATTCTTCAGAAAGACAAAAAAAAAAGAAAGAAAAGGAAACCATACTAGAGAACAGAAAAAACCAAAGAATCAGTATAGTAACTAAAACCTCTTAAGTGTAGAAAGACGAATCCTCAAAATAGTTCATGCCCTTTAGCCAAAGAGAAGCTAAGCACAGAATGAGGTCCCACAAATCGGTAACAGAATAAGAACATATCTAGCATTCAATCTAAAAGCACCCAAGACCTACAGATAAGACCTCCTTGCGAGCTCCTTCTGGTATTTGCAAACAGCATGGTATTACTATTTTGAGATCTTACCAAAAAGAAACATTTTGAGATGCTTCTCTTACTTATATTTATTTTTCAAATATAATTAATTGTTAACAGTTGAGCTAATTTTTGTCAATTGTAAAATATTTCACTACAAAAAAGCCCCATTCTCTTCATCAGCATTTATTGGTAATTTATTGACTAGACATGTAATTTATTGGTAATTTCTTAATTAGACATTGTAAAATATTTCACTATAAAAAAGCCTAATTCTCTTCGTAAAAAAATGTATTCTTGATGACCCTCTTGACACTTTCAACAGTTGGGACACAGATTCTTTTATCTATTAATGTCTAACACACTTTGTGTTTCTGCAGGTATGTACAGACATCCTAGGTGTGTCTGTTCTCTCTGAGTTAAATCTCTCAGGTTATGTAATTGCTATATGTAACAATAAACATAAATATGCATGTCAGTATATCAGAATCTGATTAATGCTACAAAGAGTCTAAGGTGAAACTATTGAAAATCTTCTCAATCTGCTACGAATTCTATAATCATCTTTAGATGATATAATGCTGTAAAAATCGAAATGTTAATTGAAATTTCCTATCCTCATGAACCAAAGTTCTAAAAGTTAGAAACACAATTTGAAAATTAATTTCATACAATCATCAGAACAGGGAACCAAACCAGGGTTTCTTTCACAAGAGATAATACATGGTAGGAGCTCCACTGTCAGCATTAACTGCAGCCACTTTGGCAGCAGCCTCTTCATTGTTTGTTGCACTGACATGAACCAAGGATCTACAAAAAGTTGAGTAAAAAAGAAAGACTTCAACAGATACTTTCAGCAATACATAAATTTTCCCAATTAGCTGACAATTTAATGCCACGAATATTTATGCTTGAAGAGGGAAATGGATGGGATTCAAATGAACTTCGTAACGCTGACAACTACAATATCAGCTCAACTTCAAAACAATTATTCTTAACTGCAAAGCACTGAATTCCTGATTTGTAGTTATACACACACATAAATTTGCATAATGCATGTATTATATATATACATGATTACAGACATAAGCATGGATGAAATCCAACAAATTTTAACTCCATTACAGCTATAAAACATCAAGGTCAAGGTCAACTTCAAAAAGAAAGAATTCCTCACTGCAAATTAGGCTCAGCCACATTGTTATTCCCGATAAAATCTTAACAAAAAATTGAAAGAAACATTGAAGAACTCGAGACCAAGACTTGTTTCACTCTACGCAGTAGTGACAAAGGCAGAGACAAGCATCATGTATGATAAATCTCACACAATACCCTATGTGTAATATTTTTGCGTAGTAAATTGCTGTATGCAAAAACTATTTACGTAGCTTTTGTAGAGAGAGAACGTAAGAGAGAGAGAGGACACGAAAAAGAGTGCAACCCTGCAAACACCTCTGTTTCGGTGCTTAGTTGATTTTTGAAGAAGGCAATAAAGGAAAAGGTCTGCACTTTTCATTTATATTTGCATGGCTTAAATAAGCTAGTTTACAACCATAAATCCTATTTTCTTATGCAAGTGATAGGCTTGCAATTGAATTCAAATTCTACCCTATTCGATTACAATTAAATTCAAAATTGAAATTTAAAATTCAAATTCAAGCTGATAAGAATAAATTTTAACTGATTCTTAATAATTTAACACTTCTCCTTAAGAATCAGTCCATACAATTCCTAACTTCTCTCTCATATTTTCGAATTTCCCTTTTCCAAGCGGCTTTGTTAGAATATCCGCAAGTTGCTCATCGGATGAGCAATGAGTAAACTTGCTTTCACCACTCTTTTCAGCATCTCTAATTGCATGGAACTTTACATTAATGTGTTTGGTTCGACCATGCATCACTGGATTTTTAGCGATTGCTATGGCCGACTTATTATCTACCTGAATTTCGGTTGGCAGAGACGCATCAAGCTTCAAATTCTGCATTACTTTCCTCAGCCATACCGCCTGATTTGCAGCACCTGCAGCAGCAATATACTCAGCTTCAGCTGTAGATTGTGCAACCACTTCTTGTTTTTTAGATGCTCAGGAGAAAGCACCAGAGCCAAACGAAAATAGATAGCCAGAAGTGCTGCGTGTATCATCAAGACTCCCTGCCCAGTCGCGATCAGTATACCCGAGCAGCCTTCCTTCTCCCTTTGCCTCATATAAAATTTCATAATTTTGGGTACCCTTTAGATACCTCAATACATGCTTTGCTGCTGCCATGTGAGATTGTTTTGGAGATGACATAAACCGTGACAGCAAACTCACAGCAAATAACATATCCCGCCTTGAATTGTGAGATACAGCAAGCTCCCAATTAAGCTCCTGTACCTTCCCTCATCCACATTATCACCTGTTTCATCTTTGG